GACAGCTTGGGGGTCTGTCTCAAAAAAAAAAAAAAAAAAAAAAATTAGTATATAGTATTGGATTCAGCTTTCAATTATAGTTAATGTGAATCTGTATTATAATGCTAATAGCTTATATTCAAGTCTAATTTGGGGATTTAGAGTATTGAGATCTTGCTATTATAAATGTAATGAACTTCTTTATATTTACACATTTATAAATACATTTTGCACACCTGGGAGATTATTTTATTTTTTATTTTTTTGAGACAGCATCTCACTGTCACCCTCAGTAGAGTGCTGGGGCGTCATAGCTCACAGCAACCTCAAACTCTTGGGCTCAAGCAATTCTCTTGCCTTGGCCTCCCAAGTAGCTGGGACTACAGGTGCCCACCACAACGCCCAGCTATTTTTTAGTTGTAGTTGTCATTGTTTAGTTAGGCCTGGGTCAGGCTTGAACCCTTCAGCTCTGATGTATGTGGCTGGCACTGTAACCACTGAGCTCTGTCACCCTCAGTAGAGTACTCTGCCATCACAGCTCACAGCAATCTTGAAATCTTGGGCTCACGTGATCCTTTTGCCTCAGCCTCCCAAGTAGTTGGGACTATGGGTACCCACCACAGTGCCCAGCTATTTTTAGAGATGGGGTCTTGCTCTGGCTCAGGCTGGTCTTGAAACTATGAGCTCAAGCAGTCCACCTGCCTTGGCCTCCCAGAATGTCAGGATTACAGGCATTAGCCACCATGCCTGGCCTGGTTCCTAGGATTTAAATTGCTAAGTTAAAAATACTTCATTTTAAAGACCATTACAAATTGACACATTGCTCTTTAGATAACTTTTACCCATTTATACTCCCATTGGGTATATTTGAGATTACCTACTTTTCCCAGCTCACCCAATATCTGTTAGTACTATTTTTAATCTTTGATTTTTAGAAGTAAATGTAATTTATATGCATGCATATATGCAAAGAACAAAGTCTAGAGGTTTATAAAACCAAAGCGGCAATGGTGGTATTATAGACAGTCTAGTTTTCTGTGTTTAAATTCATATTTGATTTCTTATGGAATTGAAAGTGTTATCTGTATATTAAAGATGTTAATCCTTGTATATTCATTCACTGTATTTCTTTTTCCTTGAGACATTTTATTTTTAAGTATGTATTATGTCCCTAGCTAACAAATGCTAGAATTTTCCCTCCTGTGTGTTTTCTTGTTTCTTAATGGTCTGTGATGCCAACTGAAGTTGTCAGGACAACGAAACCAGACTGATGGGATGAGAACAGACTATTCTGCCATTTTTCTGTGTCTTTGAGCTGCATGTTAAATCTAGGGTTGATCACTCCACACTTGTTTAACCTGCTGTGAGGTTCACAATTTTCCCAGCTCTGTGTTCATCAGTGGTTTCACATTTGCTAATGTAACTGTGCTTCATCATCATGATTAGAAACTGGATGCCGACGTTGGAGCACAACCTTACAAGACCTTGGTGTTTGCTTCTCTTTCCAGTGTTGTTGATGCTCTTCAGAGTACCAGCCAGGACATTTATGCTCACCATTACTGTTGCATGGGAAGAGGGCGGAAAGAGCTACTGTGTATTTTTGACTGAGTGCCAACTATGTACCAGGCACTTGTGCAGGTGCTTAGGAAATAGCAGTGAACAAAATACACTAAAATATGCTAATTTTATAGTATAAAAGGAAAAGTGTTAGAAAAACATAGATGATAAGGAGAGTTGTTATGGTAAGGAAGGCCGAAGGCCATGATGAATGTGGGTCTCTTAGCAAAGACTTGAGGGAGGAATGTGGGGAGAGGACTTTAGGTGGAAGGTGCAGTGTGACAGCACCAAGGCAGGAGCAGACCCAGTGTGCCGCAGGGTGGCATGGAGGCTGGAGGTGTCTGAGCAAGAGAGTAAAAAAAAAATACTGTGCCTTGAATTCTTTTGAAATAATTTAATTAATGATCTTTAAACATTTTTCGAGACACCTAAGATCCTCCCAGGGCACATCAGTGTGCCGTAGGACACTGGTTGAAAATCACTGCATTGGAGGGTTCCAATAGTTGACCCTTGAACATCACAAGTTTAAACTGTGAGGGTCCACTTACACATGGATTCTTTTTTTTTTTTTTGAGACAGAGCCTCAAGCTGTCCCCCTGGGTAGAGTGCCGTGGCATTACAGCTCACAGCAACCTCCAACTCCTGGGCTCAAGCGAGTCTCCTGCCTCCGCCTCCCAAGTAGCTGGGACCACAGGCGCCCGCCACAACGCCTGGCTATTTTTTGGTTGTAGCCGTCATTGTTGTTTTGGCGGGTCCGGGCTGGGGATTTGAACCCGCCATCTTAGGTGTACGTGGCTGGCGCCTTAGCTGGTTGAGCTATAGGCGCTGAGCCTACACATGGATTCTTTTCAAACAAATGTGAAACCCAAGTATAGGGTGGGCTATGTGCCCAAGTATAGTATATGATACTTCAGTACATGCAGATTTTGGTATATATGGAGTCTTGGAACCAATTCTCAATGTATATGAAGGACAACTGTAATAGCTACTTGAATATTTCTGAGATTCTAAATAAAAAAAATTTTCTTTTTGAGGCAGAGTCTCACTATGTCGCCCTGGTCAGAGTGCCATGGAGTCATAGCTCACAGCAACCTCAAACTCTTGGGCTTAAGCGATTCTCTTGTCTCAGCCTCCCAAGTAGCTGGGACTACAGGCATCCGCCAGAACGCCTGGCTATTTTGTTGTTGTAGTTGTCATTGTTGTTTGGCAGACCCAGGGTGGATTTGAACCTGCCAACTCCAGTGTGTATGGCTGGTGCCTTAGCCGCTGAGCTACAGGTGCTGAGCCTAAATAAAAAATTTTCAGTTTTGTAAAGCATTCATTTTTATCTGAGCTTATTTGTTTAGGTGTTCTTTCTCCCTCTGTCTGATTTGTGATGACTTTCAATTAACTTCTCTTTCCTGCTCTCATCCTGACTTCTTCTTTTCCTCCTTCTCTGTCTATAGTCAAAAAACACTTCTGCAGTTCTTTGTGGTAGAATTGTTCCCTTCTCTGCTTTTGGTCCTGAGTTGTAGCTTTCTTTTTTTTATTTGCACACCCTATTTGCTTTCTAGATTCTAGAATCTGGTTTAGATTGCTGCACTTTTTAATATTTCCTTACTAATTTATTGGACTGACGGAAATTGTTCTTGTCATTGTATTTGAAGCTTATGATTTCCTTTTAAAAGTTTTCATGGGCTAATAATAACCAGATAGCTACAGTTTTGAGGATGCTGATTTCTTTTTTTTTTTTT